TGATTGCGGATCTTCTGGAATTTTACGTTACAGAACCGAAATCGTGACTTCTTCATCTTCCACCACTACTGGATATGAAAACTCTGCTACAAAATCTACTAATGCTTATCCTTTAATGGCCGTCCTTGGTTTGTATTTCACTTTAAACTCCCCTAACTCAATTGACCACTTTGCTAGTCGCCCAGACATATCTGGCTTTTGAAGGACTTGCCTCAAGGGATGATTCGTTAAGACTATTATCGGATGAGATTGAAAGTATGGTCGTAGCTTTCGTGAAGCCATGATCAGTGCTAAGGCCAACTTTTCCATTTCAGGATAACGTGTTTCCGCGTCTAGCAAGGCTTTACTAACATAGTAAATCGGCCATTGCACTTTTTCTTCTTCCCGAATCAATACTGCACTAACTACATGCTTAGACATTGCAAGATAGAGATAGAGTTCTTCACTAAGCTTCGGCTTTGTAAGGAGTGGAGGCTCACCCAAATATGCCTTAAGGTCGTTGAATGCTTTTTCACATTTTTCGTCCCACACAAAATCTTTTCCCTTCTTGATAGCTTGAAAGAATGGTTGACATTTATCAGTTGCGCGAGCAACGAACCTGTTGAGTGCGGCTACCATTCCAGTTAATCGTTGAGCGAGGGGACTTCATTTCTAGCAACGCTTTGATCTTTGCAGGATTAGCCTTGATTCCACGGTGGTTCACCATGAAACCAAGAAATTTATCCGACTCCACACCAAAGGCGCACTTAGTTGGGTTCAATTTCATTTGGTACTTCCAAAGAATATGAAAGGCTTCCTTTAAATCCTGCACATGGTCTGTTGCCTTCAAACTCTTGACGAGCATATCGTCTACATACACTTCTATATTATTTTCTATCTTTTCTACAAACATCTTGTTCACTAATCTTTGATATGTTGCCCCATCATTTTTCAATCCAAAGGGCATCCTTATGTAACAGAAAAGACCTATATCCGTTGTAAAAGCAGTTTTGATTTGATCAGGCCCGTGCATGTATATTTGGTTATACCCAGAATATGCATCCATAAAGCTGAGTAACTCATGCCCCGCCGTAGCGTCTACGAGCTGGTCAATCCGTGGAATTGGAAAGCAATCTTTTGGACACGCCTTGTTCAGATCTGTATAATCAATACAAACCCTCCACTTTCCATTTGCTTTCTTGACTAATACCACATTTGCTATCCATTTTGGGTAGTGCGCCTCTTTAATCGTCTTTGCTTCAAGCTACTTCTCCACCTCTTCATTAATTGCTATGTAGCGTTCTGGATTGAAGGATCGTCACTTTTGAACTTTTGGCTTATGAGACGGGTCCACATTAAGCCGGTGTACTATAACACTTGGGTCAATTCTTGGCATGTCCTCATACCAAGCAAAGATATCTTTTTTTCCTAAAGAAAAGCTATCAGTTGTTCACGTAAAGGTGATGACAACTTAGAGCCTATCTGCACTACCCTCTCAGGTTGGGATTCGTCTAACGGAATCGACACCAGTTCTTCTACCGTCTCTCCACGTTTCACACGCTCTTCACGTGGGTCGAGTTCTCTAAAATTCTGTATGTCACTCAAATCTCCAAGCAAACTTGCTGGTAAATCTCAGTCTAATTGGGATATTGTAGAGACTATTTCCTTCCCCTTCAATTCATATTTACCATTGGTCACTTTTACATAGCAAATGCGAGCCTCTTGTTGATTGCCAAGCACTACTCCAACGCCATTTTCCGTCAGAAATTTCAACATGAGATGGTATGTTGATGTTATTGCTCTCATGGCATTCAAAGTCAGTCGCCCTATGATAACATTGTAAGCAGATGGCTGGTCCACAACCAAAAAATTTACCATTCTTGTCACCTTTGTGTCTCCTTCTCCCATGGTAACTGAGAGTGTTATCATTCCTTCAGTATGGATGCATGCTCTAGTAAAGCCTTGGAGTGGGGTGTTCACAGGTGTTAACTTTGCTCCACCTAGGTTGATCTTGGTTAAAGCATCCTTAAATAGTATATCCGCTGAACTCCCATTGTCGATCAAAATACGGTGGACTAAGCTATTTGCCAATTGCAAAGACACAACTATGGCATCGTTATGTGGATGAAGCAACTTCCTTGCCTCCTCCTCTGTGAAGGTTATGGTGATGTTCTCCATCTTTGCAAATTTTATGACATGTTCTGTCATATTTACAAATTGGCCACAATCGAGACCTTTAGCTTCTCGGGCATACAGGTTTCGAGCCTGCATGGAATCACCAGTTTCTGGTCCCCCAAAAATTGTCCTGACCTCATTCAGCGCATAATTATTCCCAACTGTTGTATTCGTTCCATGTGCGACCGCTGCTTGTTTTCCCATTGTTGTCGGGAGTGCAGTTCTTCTCTCAACTATCCCTCTGTCCACAAACTCCTGCAACTGGCCTTGTTGAATGAGTACCTCAATATGTCCTTTTAACTGAAAGCAACTTGAGGTGTCATGGCCATGGTCCTTATGGAAGTAACAATATTTACTTTTATCCATCTTGTTAGGATCTCCCTTCATAGGGGCCGGAGGAGTCAGCAAATTTCGATGTTGAATCTGTATTAAAATCTGTGCCGCTATTGTATTCAAGGGTGTGTAGGCCCTTGTCGTATCTGGTGGAGCATAAGCTTGGAACTTTTGCGTCAAGGTAATATTGGATTTGTTCACGTCCTGTTGTGCCTCTGACTTTTGCTTTTTGCCTTCTCTTCCTTTAGATCCTTCTTCTACCTTCCGCTTTCCATCATTTTTTGATTGATCCGTTTGAGATTGTCCTTTCCGATTGTGCATGTATTCTTCAGCGCTAATGAACTTTTGAGCTCAGATCACGAGATCGGTGAAGGTTTTTGGTTGTTTTTTGCAAATTGACTTCAGCATATCACATTCCTGAAGTCCTTCTCGAATTACGGCCACAGCATCACTATCAGTGTACCCTTCCACATAATTCATTTCCTGGCTGAAACGTTCAATGTAGGCTTTTAACGATTCATTAGCTCCTTGCTTAAGGGAGAACAGATAAAGCTTATCTTTCTTGTGAGTTTTCGTTATCACAAATCATCCTACAAGTTGTTGTTTCAGCTGGTTAAACGAACTAATTGACATTGGCTCTAATTGTTGAAACCATTGAAGCGCCGGCCCAGTAAGCGTCAAAGAGAATGCTTGGCACATCTGAGCTTGTGTGGCTCCCCGAATTCGCATCCATGTGTTATATCCATGTATATGTCCTGTTGGATTATCTTTCCCATCAAACTGCTTGATGGGAATCATCTTGAAATCAGCAGGGAATTCCTTGGCCATGATGTCCTCAGTGAATGGCGGCTCTATTTCATCTAACAAGTCTCTTACACCTTCCGGCAAATTCCTATTGGCTTCTATGTCATCCATTCGTCTTTGCATCATTTCGAGCTACTCGAGTTGTTCCTCACGGGTGCTCCTGTTGGATTAACTCATGCCTCCTTGATTATCACGTCGGTTCTGGTTCTGATTTGCCCTATTTACTTGTCTCCGAGAAGATCGTGGTATTTCGGCTCTCCTCCTACTCCTGTTTTGAGTTGCCTGGTTGTTTGAGGGCATATGTACAATTGCATGTACATTCCGTCATGCATTGAACATATCCCGCAAATCAGTAGTGGTGAAATCATCAGACCCAAGTGTCCAGGTGCTATCAACTTCTTCGCTATTACGGTTAGCTTCTATCCTGTCAAATACCGATGTCCTAGTTCTCTCAGTTGCGTCGTGATGACTCCCAATCCGTGACAAAGCATTCTGACGCCTAGGCGCTTGACGTGGTTCCTGCTGCTCGGGCAAGTCCCTTGGTTGATTCCTATTGGATTGACCATCGCCTTCATTCCGCTGGCTTCGACGATGGCTACGCCCACTCCTAGCACTCCGATAATTTGCCGGCCCACTTTGTTGGTTATTTGCTGGACGAACCGTGTTAAAGGTAGTGATAAGTTGATTCACCATCCCTACCAACGTGTCCACTCGTGCCTCGATCCTGTCAGTGTGTGTTGGTGGACGAGGAGCACGTGGTGCTCTTTCAGGATTACCGACGAGTCCCCTTGTTTGGGTTCCCTCAGTATGGGTTCGTTGAGCACTTGAGACTTGGTCACTTGCCATACTTGAAAATGACTTAGCAATGAGATAAAAAAATTTAAGTGCCGGTGAGAACCCGTGAATGTTAATCACACTAGGGGGCCCTCCTTCTAGCGCCAAAAATGTTTGAGCAAAATTTCATCCAACACTTATCCAATGTTCCTAGACTAATAATTTGGATTGAATAAGCAAATTATCTAAGAAAATTAGAAGAACACTCGAAGAACACAAAAAACTTCTGAAGGAATAACAAAAACAAAATGAAAACAATCACAAGACAATTGTATTCAAAAATGAGTGTCCACCCTTTCCTCTCAAACTGAAGGAATTTATAGTACATTAGGATTGAGGGAGTTTAATTATCCCATTAATTCGAGAGTTTATTCTCTCTTAATTACAATAAGGCTCTTCACCTTTTTGTGAGGTAAAACTGATAAATAATCAATGAGAACTAACTTTTAACCATTCAATGTCTTCAATTAGCGCCGGTTACTTCTCTTGATAACATCACGCGACCTTTGAACTTTCAGCTCGGGAGAGCTCGGGCCCGGGAGAGCCTTTGAATTTATTGCACATTTAATAATTTCAGAAATGCCACCCAACAATTGTTACTTCAACAAAGAGTGATATTCAACAGTAATAATATGTTACACAACATGCTCCATACGGTGTACTTTTTTCTTTTCCGAATACTTTTTTCTTTTCCGAACTCCATATGGCGTTTCTGTAGAATTCGTGAAAGTTAAAAGGTATAAAAGGTCCATATTAGTGTTGCTTATATTTGTCCTCAGAGTTGCAACAAAGGACAGGAGGGAAAGGAGTAAAAATTTATCCACGATTACGTTTATCTTGAAAACTTAAAGACACAAATAACTATTACATTTTATTATACATACATTAAAGGAGTTCCGCTCAGTTTATCATTCTAAATTTTACCCATAAAAAGGGCAAAAGCCATCGTACAACAACAGCCAAGAAAAAGGGCAAAAAAAAAAAAAAGACACATTTCTAACACCCATCTTTGTTGGCATTATTAATCCAACATTTGAAACAAATAAATGAGTCATAACAAACTTAAATGCTTCTGTATTACAATATATTTACAAATAAGAACCCCTTCGGTCGAGTTCTCAGCCGGGTACAAAGTAATCCATCTTGTCCACTGGCAGATTCAAAACTGAAGTCTCAACCTACACCAAAGAGAGAAAATGCCAAAAATCTCATAGAAGTTAAGATATATCACTACCAGTCATGGACAATGCTAAATCTTGTTGCTCAGGAGCAAAGCTTGAAAAGATACATGGAAATGTACCTCTTCAAAAGGAACGAACACAAAGGGTGTCATACCCCTCTTGTGTGAGACAGCAGGCACATCTGGATTGTGTGTTTCGTCATCCTGCCACCCTTCCACTACTCCTAGGATATCTTCACCCGGGCCGTTGACCTCATTTCTGTTTACTCCACTTGTAACGAGTGAAAGTAAATCCATCCGATTGTTTGCCCCTGCTGTAGTTCCTCTCACCCTATAAGATGAGTAAACAGGTAGTCCATCATAGTAGAACTCAAGGTTCAAAGAATGGAACACCCAAAAGCCAGAAGTTTCTTATGACTCTTTTAAGTTTTTTTTCTCAAAGGACTATAGAAAGAGGGCTAACTGAGGAATCCTCAAATCATTATTCCACAAAAACTTCAGCTTAGACAATCTCCGCATGATACGATTAAATTCTGCATTTGACAAACCGCTACTTGAAAAGGAACAAGAACAATTACCATCAACCACAGATGATAAGACAATCAGATAATTCGCTTTTACTTTTATGCCACGCTCCCAACCCCCAACCCCCCCCCCCCCCCCCCCCCCCCCCCCCCCAAAAAAAAAAAAAGAGCATACCTCAAGCGGATCCTCAATACAGTAGGTCGCATGCCTGGATACAAAATTGCAGCTTCAACCTGTAAGCAATCGAAATATTCAAGACGCATATAAAAAATAGAGAATAGGAGAAGCATTTCAAAAGCAAAAGCCAACTAACGTACAACAATGAATGTAGTTAGATTGTATGCGAGGATATTCAGAATGACTGTAAACGAGGATATTTAGAATATGCAACCAGACAACTTAGAAAAATCATCTGCTAACCTTATCGTCGGACAATGTGTAATGGCCACTGTAAACACAGTCTGCCTTAGCTGCACGAAAATTCATGGATTTCACAACATCCTTCATCTTGTGGGATGAATTCTGCCAATAGCAGATTAAAAGACATGATAACAATAACTTTGAATGGAAATGATTACACTGCGTCGGTAGAAAAAAGCATAATGTGAGATAAAACAATCCTAACCTTGTAAACAAATCGGCCAGAAGGATAAAATCTTATGTAACGAAAATAGCAGACCTGAAAACACAATATTTGTTAAAAGCAGAACGGAAAAAAGAAAAGAAAAAAAAAGAAAAGAAAAAAAAAGAAAAGAAAAAAAAGAAAAGAAAAAAAGAAAAAAAGAAAAAAAGAAAGAGGAATGGTTGCTCAAACAGAAACTAGGTCACAAATGTAGAACCAAGTGATGCTATCACAAGATTATATCTGTTGATGGGTCTTTTAGACAATCTTCTTAATGACGTGATGAGCTATAATTGACTTCAAGGAAGAATAGGTCAACCACATGGCTAACAGGGAAGATCATAGATGAGGTTGGTCGCGTAGCCAATGTAGAGAGGTCAGTCATCCAGCCAAGTCAACGAAGACGAGGTTGCCTCCTAGCCAATTTAGCCAAGATCAGTAGCTTTACTAATGATGAGGTCGACGCCTTAGATAAAAAGGAAGCTGGACAGCGGACACAAAGTCAGACTCTTTGGTCGGCTATATTCACGATGGCCTTTTTTGTTCGAAAATATTTACCACAACCTAATTAGCTCGGCCATATTCACCTTGTCCTAGATAAGGTCGACCTAAACACCTTGGCCTATATGGAAAATATGCTAAAATCAGCACGAGGTCGGTCCGGCCTAGTAGACGGATAACCATGAATCAATCCGGAAATCACAGGATTATCTTCAAAAAAAACAACCTTGATTCGAATTTAAGCAAATGAGAAAGTAAATCCACGGATTATGAAGATAAGGATGATTCAAAAAAGGGAAATTAGAGATAAACATCTCATTTAATTCAAATAATTTGTATTTATCACCTAAAGGGCTATAAATAGAGGTCTACCCCTCACTAGGAGGAAAAAAGAAGTCCATTTTTGGCATTTTCCCTTGAGTGCTCTTGTAATTCTCTCTCTCATAGTAAAATTTCCCCGTCCTTGAGAAACCCTAAGTGGATGTAGCCTCCAATTGAGGCGAACCACTATAAATTCTTGTGTTCTTTGATTTCCTTTATTATTATTTTTTTTCCTCTCATCAACACACATTAACAACGTGTGAGAACTAACACATGGTGAGGTGATCGTGAGAGTTCTTTTTGTCGGACAAATTTTATCCGTCAGCAATATTGATAGAAACCCAGGAATTCTAGGTGGTTTTCTTAGCTGTTATTAATCAAACTGAAAAAACGTGAAAACGGAAATTACATATAGGAGGAATTCGAGGTTCCTCTGCCTCCAACATTCAGACTCAATTCTCAATACAATACCCTCCCTTCTCACTACAAGCTCTCTTTTATAGACTCCTCACTCACGGTATTCCCCATGCAAAACCAATTCCGAACGGCATGCCTGACCTCAACGTGAAACTCGATAATATCTGTCAAGTCAGCCATTACCTCTTCCTACTACACCTCCTTGTGAGAATCAACTATTGCCCCCTTGCTCCTCCTAGAGTATACGAATTTAATGGGAGGGGGGGCCGGGCCCTACACCCCCCCCCCCCCCCCCCCTTTAAGACCAACCTTGTCCCCATGGTTGAAGCCTCGAAACTGGGTCTTGGTAGACCATCCCACTAAACCAACACCTCTGGTACTTGTTTACCACCCACCAATCGAACTCGGGAATCCAGAACTGCCGAAGGTTGAACATCCAACTCCAATTCGTCCGAGAGGTTAGGAGGTAGGGGCAGACCAGAAACCACCATTCCCCTATACGGTTTCAGCTGAGACACGTGAAAGACAGGGTGAATCCTAGCTGTGGGAGGCAGCTTAAGGCGATATGCCACGGGGCCAACCCGTTCTTCTACCTCGAAGGGACCATAGAATCGTGGACTCAGCTTTTCATTAGGTCTGCGGGCTAATGATTTCATGTAGTACGGGCGTAATCGCAGCAGTACCTAGTCACCTGTGGTGAAGGAGACGTCCCGGCGATGACGATCCGCAAACTTCTTCATCTGCTGCTGAGCCGACAATAGGTGTTCTTTCAACAGGTCAATTGTCTGGTTCTGCAGCCGCAGCTGTTCCTCGAATCCTTGTACTACTGCAGATCCCTCCTGGAAGCGGTGCAGGGTAGGCGGGTGCCGGCCATAGACTATGAAGAATGGGGTGTATTTTGTAGAAGAATTATAATTGGTATTGAACCAATATTCAGCCCAGGGAAGAAAAACCTGCCACTACCGGGGTTTGTCATTAGCGAAGCACCGTAAGTATGTCTCCAGACACCGATTGGTGACTTTCGTTTGCCCATCCGATTGCGGGTGATAGGCTGAGCTAGTGTGCAACGTGGTGCCCTGCAGCTTGAATATCTCCCGCCAGAACAGGCTCATAAATAGTGGGTCGCGGTCACTAACAATGGTCTTGGGCACCCCGTGTAAACAGATGATTTCCTTGACGAAAGCCTCGGCAACCTGTTTGGCGGTGAATGGGTGGGCCAGAGGGCAGAAGTGGGCATATTTGGACAAACGGTCCACCACAACCAGGATGGTATCCGCCCCCTTCGATCTTGGCAACCCACTGATAAAGTCCATGGATATGTCCTCCCACACACGCTGGGGCACCTGCAGGGGAGTTAACATCCCTGCTGGAGATAAAGTTTCGGTCTTGCATTGATGGCACGTTACACAGCTCGCCACATACTCCTTGATTACCTTCTTCATTCCCTTCCAAAAAACCACTGCCGCCAAACGCTTGTACGTACGAAGGAACCCCGAATGCCCTCCAATGACTGAGTTATGGAACTCGTGAAGGAGGGTCCTCACCCATGGTGACGAGGCTGGAATAACTAAACGTGTGTTAAACAGGACCAACCCGTTTTGAACGCTATAACCAGGAACCGACCCTGCACCAGCCTATAGGTTGGCTATCAGTGCTGCACAGTGGGGGTCTCCAGCCTGTTCCTGTCGAAGGGCATCAAGGTCAAGTTGCTGAGGAATGGAGATTGCGGAAAAGGTGGGGATGTCGGTCTCTTCCCTCCGAGACAGAGCATCGGCCACTCAGTTGGCGGCACCGGGCTTGTATTGGATCTCAAAATCATAGCCGAAGAGTTTGGTCACCAACCGAAGCTGATCAAGAGCCAGAACCCGCTGGTCCATGAGGTGGCGGAGGCTCTGCTGATCGATACGGATGACAAAATGTCGTCCAAGGAGGTAGTGCCGCCATTTTTGAACTGTGAGGACGATGGCTAGCAATTCCCTCTCGTAAACCGACTTCCATCGTGCGGTTAGGGACAATCCCTTGCTGAAATATGCCAGAGGTCGCCCTTCCTACATTAACACTGCACCTACACCACTGCCCGAAGCATCAGTTTCTAAAACAAAAAGTTTTCCAAAATCAGGCAAGGCGAGAACTGGGAGTTCTGCCATCAAGTTCTTAAGTTTCTAAAATGCCTCTTCCGCTGGTTGAGACCATTGAAAAGCCCCCTTCTTCAGCAAGTCGGTCAGAGGTCGAGTGAGCCCCCCATATCCAACCACAAACCGGCGGTAGTACCCGGTCAAGCCGAGAAATCCCCTAAGTTCCCTTATCGAACGAGGGGTAGGCCAAGAAGTGATGGCCTGCACTTTTGACGGGTCTGCCACAATTCCCTCTTTTGAAATAATGTGGCCGAGGTAGTCCACCTGCTTACTGCCAAAAATACATTTTTTTTGGTTGGCGTATAACTGTTCCTGGTGCAGCATCTGTAAAACCAGCTCCAAATGCCGAATATGCTCCTCGCTTGACCGGCTGTAAATTAAAATATCGTCAAAGAAAACGAGCACAAATTTACGTAGGAATGGTCGGAATACCGTATTCATTAGCGATTGGAAGGTGGCAGGGGCGTTGGTAATCCCGAAGGGCATCACGAGAAATTCGTAGTGCCCTTCATGCGTACGAAACGTTGTTTTCTCCACGTCCTCTTCCCGTACACGAATTTAGTGGTACCCTGAACGGAGGTCCAACTTGGAGAAGACACTGGCCCCTTGTAATTCGTCCATCAGCTCGTCGATTATAGGAATGGGAAACTTACCCGGGATTGTTAGCTAGTTGACGGCACGATAATCCACACAAAATCTCCAGCTGCCGTCCTTTTTTTTTACCAGCAAAATAGGGCTCGAAAATGGACTAGTACTTGGTCGGATTATCCCCGACGCTAACATCTCCCCCACCAGGCGCTCTATCTCGGCCTTCTGGATATGGGGATATCTATAGGGCCGGATGTTAGGGGGAGATACCCCCTCTCGTAACACAATGTGATGGTCACGAGCACGGGGCGGAGGAAGTCCCTCAGGCAGTTCAAAAACGGACTTGAATTGTCCCAGAAGTGCGGCCAGCTCCTGTGGTGTCGCCACGGCCGAGTGTCCCTGTTCCCCGGGGCCGGCCACCCCAATTTCGAGTAACACTCCAGCATGCTCGCACAATAGCGAACGAAAGATCGAACGCACACTCACCTTAGAGCAGCTTAACGCGGAGTCCCCCTGTAGGCAAACCCATTGACTTCCTGCCAAAAATTTCAGAGTCAAACGGGTCCAGTCAGCTCGTACCTCCCCTAATGTCCTAAGCCACGAGACTCCGAGCACCACGTCCACGTTTCCCAATTCAAAGGGGAAAAAGTTCTCAATCACTCGGTGCCCCTGGATCAACACCTACACCGAACGGCAGACCCCTTCCTGCTTGAAAATCATCCCATTCCCTACCTGGATCTTGTGCCGAGCGGTCAAGTCCTGGGGTAATTTCTCAGTTCGCTCACCAGCGAGGTGGAGATGAAGCTGTGGGAGGCCCCGCTATCAACGAGAATGATGACTTCCCTCCCATTCATCGAGCCCTTGACTTTCAAACATCTTTGCCGAAGAGCATCCGTTGAAGGAGTTGAGTGACAGGGCAGCCATTTCTGCAACCGTCGAGCTTCCTGGATCGGCGTTTCCTTCCTCTGTAATCCCCTCCTCCTTACACTCATCCTCCGAGTCTTCATCAGTCAACATCAACACCTGTAGTGACGGTCAACATCAACACCTGTAGTGACCGATTCTTGCAACGGTGCCCTGGGCTATACTTCTCGTCGCACCTGAAACAAAGACTGCGAGCCTTGCGCTGCTGTACTTCGTCGAAGGTTAACCGTCGAAACCCGGAATCTCCTCCGGCAAGAGGCTGGACCTTCGAAGTCGCCGCCGTGAGCCCCTTTTGCTATCCGTTGGAATCTCGATTTAATTGGGATTGAAGGGAGCTTTCGCGAGCCTCTGAGATGTTAAATTGGGAATAAGGGCTTAACCCGGGTCGACCCGTATACTTGGGTCTGGTGACCCGTCCCACCTTGTTCCTCCTGACCCGGTCCACCGCCTCAAGTCGGTCCTCCACTTGTTGGGCCAGGTCCATTGCCTCCAATAAGTTGACAAGCCGGTGCATCCTCACCTCAGCCCACACGTCCTCTCGTAACCCATTCAGGAAAGCTCCCTTGAAGATAGCTTCGGGCACACCTCTCATGGAAGCAGCCAACGCTTCGAATGTCTCGGTATTCCGCTACTCCTCCAGTCTGCCGGAGCGCCATCAGCCGCTCCGTCGGATCTCCTTGGGCGCGGCTGAATCGCTGGATGATGGCCGTCCGGAGTTCTCGCCAGCCCGCGAACGGGTCCTGTGCATCAACCCACTGGAACCACCCCAGAGCTCTTCCTTCCATGCACACGGACGCCGCCAAGATTCGCTCCTCATCTTCGATGTCGTTCACCGCGAAATAGCGCTCGGCCCTAAACACCCAGCCGTACGGATCTTCACCATGGAAAACCGGAAGCTCCAATTTTCTCCCTCGAAAATCCCCTCTACCCCTCTGCGGTCCCGGAGATACTTGGCGGTGCATTCCTCCTCCTTCCCCCCCTCGGACCGGTGAGCCTTCCCGAGGGATTGCTTGTCCCCTCTCCGGTTCTCGCCTGGGGGGTGTCCGATCTAGGTTCCTAACCGGTTCCCTTTCTGGATGCCGTCTATCAAACAGCCGAGCCTGTCTCTGCAACAACTCCTCGATTCTAAGCACCGATCCTTGCACCTCTCCAACTCTGGTGTCCAGCCGAGTGACATCCTCTTGCAGCTGGGGAACTCGATCAGCTATGGCTCCCACTATCTGAAGAGTGTCGTGAACGTCTTCTATCCTATGCTCCACCAAGGCAACTCGATCTGCAACGCGCGGGTCGTGGTGGACGGCGGCCATGGAATCGGTGGCTCTGATACCAATGATAGAAACCCAGGAATTATGGGTGGTTTTCTTAGCTGTTATTAATCAAACTGAAAAAACGTGAAAACGGAATTCTGGGTGGTTTTCTTAGCTGTTATTAATCAAACTGAAAAAACGTGAAAACGGAAATTACAGATAGGAGGAATTCGAGGTTCCTCTGCCTCCAACATTCAGAGTCAATTCTCAATACAATACCCTCCCTTCTCACTACAAGCTCTCTTTTATAGACTCCTCACTCACGGTATTTCCCATGCAAAACCAATTCCTAACAGCATGCCTGACCTCAGCGTGAAACTCGATAATATCTGCCAAGTCAGCCATTACCTCTTCCTACTACGCCTCCCTGTGAGAATCAACTATTGCCCCCTTGCTCCTCCTAGAGTATACGAATTTAATGGGAGGGGCTCGGGCTCTAACAAATATCCATAAACAATTATGTTGCTATGAGAATATTATCCAAAAACACAAGTCCTTGAATCAACAATTAGCTAAAAGAATGAGAGCATCTAAAAAATATTTTCACTAGCAGCAGTATAACATGCATGAAATATGACACGACTCGTAAATAATTATCACACCATTGCTAATCCAATTACAAATCACTATAACCCGAGTTCTAGTACCCGTGCAACTTGCATTTGACATTTAGGTTTTAACGTTTTTTCTTTATAGTTCATTTTTGGATGATAGTGATTTCAAAATTTAGTGGCTTCGGCTTACATTAGAGGAACCTACAATGGAATACACTCTGCAAATTATGATATTAGTTGTGGAACCCAAAGGCAAGTTGTGGTTGCAGGTATAGCCTAGAGATAATTTCACACTGACTCCATTCCCCCCTGCCCCTTTTCAAATTCAAAAATAAAAGAAAATAAATACATACAAAGGCAAGTCTGGGAGCAAAATGAAAGCATACCACATGAACAGGATTAGTGATCTTCCATTCTGCAACTCCAGCACGGATATAAGTATTCCTACTCACATAAAGACCTGACGTAAAAAATGGAATGTAAATTCATTAACTCAAGATACACCTAAAGTTAGAATAAGAAACATACACCTAAAGTTAGAATAAGAAACAAACAGAAAAATTAAAAAAATGTTAAGCAATGCCCTACCATCAGTACGGACCCTTGGTCTCAAAAGCCACATTCTTCTCCATGAACCCTCATACTTCGACTGCAAAGTCTTGTAATTTTCGACTACTCCAGAGAGCTTCATTGTAGAGGTCCCCAGTTTTAAAACCAACCACTTACATACAAAAAAGAAAAAACCAAGGGCTCAAACAACATAGGCAATACCAATTACCTGCCAGGCCTTTAAGCATGCATTGCGCCAAAACACAGGGTTACGAATTGTGTACCTCCATTTTCGACAAACACAAGATGCCCTTCCTAAGTCATACGGATTCATTCGTGCAAATACCTGGGGGGTGAATAAAAAATCAGTCTCTCCCATTATATCTTTTACACCATAATAATAGAATTGTATTTGAATATATATATATATATATATATATATATCTTATATTGATAAGTAGATAAGAAATAAGAATGTTCGAGCAATATAACCTTTACTGTGAAAGAAATACATGATTGCTTTACAAAAGAAAGAGAACAATGATTCTCATTTCTCAATGATCTTAGTGGTATTGCCTATCCCACAGGCTAGACATTACTTTGCTTCTGTACTTGCACAAACACGAGCAGAAAGCATACAGCATAGAAACAGAACGCATGACCGACTAAGGGAGAGAATTATATCTATCTTCAACACCAAAAAGAGGATTGTAAATCGAGCATATTAACAAGAAAAAATAAAATTAAAAAAACACCAACATTTTTTTACTGAATCCACACCTCAAAAAGCAGCTCATCAGGCAAGCTACGATGTATCAGTGCCGGATCAACATATGGTTTTCTACTCACACTTCCAAATGGTGCAACAGGTCTAACATTGATACCATAAAGATCTGAAACAGAAACTCTGAAGACAATAAGAAATTATAAAAATCTATATGGAAGACTTAATCTACAATTACAACAAACTAAGATATGTGTATGTGTAGTTACAATATTCTCACTCATCAGTCTACACTGAAATTTAAAAAACAATACAAGTTAATATAAAAATGCAGTAGCATATGAAGTTACCAAGCCACGGTCTTTTTGTGACGAAGTACTGAACAGTCTTTAACCTCAAGGCTGAATCTAGCTCCGCAGGAATACTTGATGCAAAATCTGCAAGAAACGACATTTAATAGATATCAAAAAACCAGCTTTATTATTAAATTAACAATTACTCAATTAAGATGTCGTTTTCCCGTATTTCAGGGATGAAAAAAAAAATACCCCACATATTCCAAGAACCCAGGAAACTAATTAAGCGACTAATTCAATGGGTTATTCTGATAGAAATTTGGTAAATAACAGAAAGGTATTGCTCAATTCAACAGGGAAAAAACATATTTTTCATCAATTATTCCAAGGAATCACAATCAAACCAAATCACTCCAAAATTCAGCGACTTTATTGAATTTAAATCCAATTGAGTATCAGATATGCAGCCATAAGAATTATTGAACACACCTGAAGCCATGAAGAAGGAAGAACAACTTTCCCGGCGAGATAACGGAATTATTTCCCCTCAATTTTTCTCAGGCGAATTACAGAGAAAAAGGAGGGCGAAAAATAAAAATAAATAAATAAAAGGGAGAGAAATTGGAAGTACGAGAAACTTCGTTAACTTTCAAAGAAAACCGACTTCGTGAATTATTTGTGACCTCTAATCTGATTGGCCCATAATTAGGCCTCTGAGTGGGCCCAATCATCTTGTACATTCATCTGATGGCTATGCCTACACTAAAATTTTGATCAGGTCATCTTACACGACTTCTTCTTCCTCCGTTTTTTTTCTTTGGTAGAAAATTCCCTGATATACAAATTATCCCATAAAAAAATTTAATACAAATTATTTCCAAGCATTTATGCATATTAAAAATTGTAGTAAATATCATTACAAAATTAAATTATATAAATAGTAGATTTTAAAATATTTGAAGTAAATAATAGTAAAAAAATTTATTACCACTTAAATTTTCTATTTACAACTCATAAAATATTTTTTTCCGTGTAAATTTTTAATTTATTATTATTATTTCATTCAATATATAATGGTTTGGTTTTAATGATAAATTAGATCAATTGTACTATATGTGCAAAACTCCGAACAAAAGTGCTATGCTTCTTCACCTTGTCAACGTACAGACATTTTTTTGCAAGTTGTATGAAGTATTTTCAGGAAAAAAAGAAAAAAAAAATTGTATAAGTATATGAAGGTATCTATTACTTTTTTTTTTTCAAGTAGGGGAAAAAATAAAGAAAACCTCATATGAAAGCTTCACATCACAAATAAAACTGATAATAATAACAAATAAATTCAGCGAATTAAGGAATCTCTCCCCTTAACGCTTCTTTTGACAATAAAAAATCTAGTAGCGGGTTCCAAAAAAAAAAAAAAAAAAAAAAAAAATGTGAGAAACTTTCTTCACTATGTTTTTGCCATGCAGAAAATGTCACACCAACACATTTCGAAGACTAAATATGCCCGTATAATACTGAGTTATCGGCAGTAACCACAGATAATCACCAAAATCCTACTGCTACTGTGATTAGGAGGTATTCCGTGATATAAAAATTTTGTAACCAACCAAATACTCCCATAATACTTTGCAATAATTTTATTGATAGCGTGCATGTCTTTTACATTATCCCGTTTATATGAAAACCATAAGTTGAAATATAATACAAATTTAATAATTGAAATTTACGTATAAACAAACGACATATTTTGGTGTAATTAATTATTGAATTTCATATGAAAAGGACGAGTCAATCTAAACTATTTCTATTTCTTTTTTCTTTTTTTTTTTTCAGGACATAAACGCGTTCTTCCCTACTAGGAAGAATATCTCTCTCTAGTCTTTTCAATAGGATTCCTTTTTTTTTTTTTTCAACTCGATCGTTTTGATCTTCATATTATAACGGTGTGCATCCACTTAAGTCTTGATCATTGATGAGTTCGTCTACTTAGGTTTTGATTTAGTTGTGTGGTTTCGTATGTTGTTTTTATTGTTTTTTATGCTAACGTGTTGTCAGTCGTACTCATAAAAACCTACAATGGTCAAGTCTATTATCACAATAGGCAGATGTAGATCAACCATCCACAATAGCTTCTTGTTGTATCAATTAAAATTGGAGAAAATTTTAAGTTTAATCATTATTTTTATTATTTATGTTACTATCTAAAATTTTAATATTATTGTGAAAAATAACCTACATGTACGAAATATATCTTGTAGGTTACGCAAAGATAACCTGTAAAATACGAGAGATAACTTGCATTATGAAAAGATAACCCATAAATAATTAGTGACATAAGATGAATTAACGATAAAAGTATAAATAAAATAATATTACTTTATTGATGATATTTTTAAAAATTCTCCTTAAAATTAAAATTACTTACGCGGGGGCGTGGTGAAAAGAATATATATATATATGTATGTGTGTGTGTGGATATTATTTTTATATGAAGCTCAATTTTAAGAGCCAGAACTTTAATACTATTGGAGTTGGGTTGACAAAAATCTTCAAAATTGGGTTCTATGCTTATATTTTTGAAAGATTTACACGCGAGAGAAAAATATATGGTTTGTCATGATTTTGTATAAATAATGTCATTTTAAAAAATTGATTGACATTATAATTTTTTATTTTTTCTTTATTAATTGAATGATAATTGTTTATTTTTTAATAGGGTAACATAAATAATATTATTTTACCATCTTGAGTGTATTTATGGTTTTTTTTTTTCCCCTTACATGATTACGTTCGTAGCCTTTTTAGGAAAAATATCGCCACATAGTTTATGTTTTAGTGTACTAATGGTTTACTGCATGGTATACCAATGGATTACAAACAAATCAAAAAATTACCTCCTTGCATTCGCTTAGTCCGTCTCGTTCTTATTACCAGCCCTCAAAGTCAACGAAACAAATAACCTCCAAGGCATCAACGTTCGAGATCTTATCTCTGACCACGCACAGATCTTTAAGGGCTGGTATGGGTACATGCCTCCACTTAAAGAAAAAATGATATTTTAATATATAAAAAATACAAAAAAGAAAGGAAAATAAAAAGCTCAAAAGCAAACAAACAACGGGTGCGTTTGAATCTCGTTCTAAAATGAGTTTATTTTCTGTATGAAAATAAAAATGAAAACGTTTTTATTTTCAGGCAGGAATCATTTCTGAAAATGTATTTATTAGTTTTATTCATAAATTATTTTTAATCTAAAAAAAACTAAAACTGCATTTGGTAGTTTCATTTTTTAAAACATGTAATAGTATTTAGAATAATAATATATTAAATAATTTCAAATTGAATCCCAAATAAAAACACTAATAATTAATATAATAATTTAAATTACATTACAAATAAATAGTAAATAATTTATACGTACAACACTCTCACTTCATTTTGGTTTTTCTTGTCAAGTCAAAGCAAAATATGAACGAATAAACGACGAGATTTTCTTTGTCGTCTCAACATATACAGAGATGGATGTGCCACCATGTGTTTGCTTAGTCTAAAGTTTGGATTCTTCTGCCTTAGATTTTATCACAAAGCTAGGAAATGATAGAGACAAGTCCCTGAAGAAACATATAAACAATGTCATATACCTAAAAAAATGCAACTGTTGATGCTCATATGTGGCTTTGCAAGTCATGTTTTTCAGTAAAAGACTTTTTGCTACATATTCCTTCCACTGATCTTCATCAATCCTGCCATCTCATTTTGTTTCTGCTTCATTGAATGTCTGTATAGCATAAAATGAAGTGTGAAAACAAAGACAAAATCTGTAAAATGCACGTTCCCACGAACAGCAGAGTGATTGGATTGAGACCTGTCTACAATCATTTCCACAAACATCATCCGATAAACCATCTCCTTCGCTTTTACTACGAAATGCGAGAGCTACGTACACTTTTAATCACTGTAAAATTTCAGTACGAATGAAAAAAAAGAAAATCACACGATGTTGTTAACTCTGTATCAGAACAATAATTAAGCTACATATGCTCTACACAATAATGCTTCGTTGATACAAAACTAACATGCTGCCTTTCAAGCAAAAATTTTCATTAAAAATGATAAAACCCAGAGTATTATCACATGATATAAAATCTTTTCTGTTTCACGATAAAATAATTAGCAATTAAGTGGGATTTCTGATGAAAAGGAAAAAGAAAAAGGAGCTACTTAGTTATTGTTCTGATACAGAGTTGACACGAGCGGATGAAAGTCGATTATTTAACGAGTGTTTGGCGAACAACTACAGCCAAAGTCAGGTAGTGGACCATTCAACTACAACTTCAGGATTTCTTTATAGATGACTCTCATTCAGTAGAGAACAAATGGAATTTTGTAGACAATGAGTACAAACAATATCTTAATGTTGGAACCTTGTCATAGGGTTCTCCAACATCTGCCTAAGTTCCATCTATGAATCAGACGAGCAGAGTCGGAGACCAGAGAAGAAACCGGAGAAGAAGGCCGCCGTTTAGATCCCGAGACCTGTGATTCCAGCTAGAAGCCCACCAGCGAGAGTGAGAGAAGAGAACGGCGAGAGGAGAGAAAAGAACGGCGAGAGGGATGGAGGTGAGCTGGAGAAAATGAAATCGGAAAAAATGAAAACGACTTTAATCCGTTTTCAGAAACATATCAATTTTTGGGAAAAATACAAAAACGTTTTTGTTTTTTATTTTGGTACGGTGCTTTCCCAAACACGGTCTTCCTTCCGGTTTCAATTTATCCTCCTCAAAAAACGTGAAAAATGTTTACAAAACCGAAAACACGCCCAACATGTTCAAGAACAAAACTTTTAAAACAACATCCATGCTTTTATATATAGTAGAAGATTAAAAATTGTCTCGTCACCAAGATTTATTGGTTTTTAATAACCAATAATAACTAAATTAAACTAGTTAAAAATTTATATTTATAAAGCGAAATATTGTAATATAATTATTATTTTGATAAATATATCTTGTCATAGTTAATTCGTGATTGAGCTGAAAGGAAAAAGAGCATGGCAATCATATATCTTCTTACTTATTTATGACACTAGTGATAATCCTACAGCAACACTCAAGACACTTCTAACATTGTGAGGAAGCAATTGGACAATCAAATGGATGAGCATTTATTACATTTTAGTTAGTATAGTGAGAAATATTTAATTTTATGTTTTCGACAATAATATTATGGCAGCACTTTTAATTTTTTTAAATTATTCGTCATTGTATCACGACCAGTTATGATGGCGTATTTCTCTACTGATGCTTCGACGCTGAAAAGTCCCGAAGTCGGAAGTTAAAAAGGCAACGAAGTGGCTCTTTTACGAAAGTTATGCCGAAAAAGGGCTCTCGAACTGATTTGTGTCCATTCTTTTTAATTTAGTACTAATACAAGTGAAGAATCCTCATTGGAAGTCAAGGCCATGCATTTAATGGAATGCTGACTGGCATATTGGCGTTGAAAATATGTGTGTGTGTGTATACATATTGAGTTTATTATTCATTTCTTCTTTTTTGAACAACAAGGCCCCAACCAAAAAAAAAAAAACAAAAAAACAAAAGAAAAGGGGACCGTCATAACATCCTTTGTCAGTGGA